TGTTTTCTTCTTTCTTGCATATAGTTATAAAGAGACTCACGTGGTTACTTTAACAGCTTAGATTGTCTCATGATGTCCTAGACACAGTAAAAATCAGTGCAGGAGGGAAGGAAAACAGCTATTTCTCTCAACTTCAGTAATAGAAATTTGGAGGACCCTATATATTTTGTGCTAGGTTGGACCCTCTTTGTGTTTTACATGATAGATACTCTGTTACAGAGTGCTGACTTACAATTAAACATACAGAAATTTGGAGGCTGCCAGATTTTAGCAATTCTGTTAAGTATCATTAGGAGTCTGCTATTCTCAGTGATACTTTAATCATATTCCCATTATGTGTTGAAATGTTTGAGGGGAAACTTAAGGTGGTGTGCTGACCACTTTTTTTGAAAATTGTTCTGGATTTGATTTTTCTTGCAAGTTCTTTAATAAAAACCAAAACCACAACTCTTTTGAATGCCTGTTCTGATGCCCTTTCTCCTAACCAGAGTGGAACGCTGAAGACAGCTCTGCTAGATTACATAAAGCGCTGTCGGCCAGGGGACAGTGAAAAGCACAATATGATAGCCCTGTGCTTTAGCATGTGTCGAGAAATTGGAGAGAATCATGAGGCAGCTGCTTGTATACAGCTTAAGCTCATTGAATCTCAACCATGGGGTGAGTAGGAATTACGGAACCAAGACTAAGTGTGTTTGAATATAGCTTCTCGTATAAGCATATTGCATCGCTGTACATAATCAAAAATTGGCTTAATTTAAAATACTTTGTAAATTAAGGGCATTTTTTCTGTCAGATGCATTGTTGTTTAAGTGAGATATGGCTAGTAAACACAGTTCCAGTTGCCTTTCCTGCTGACCTGCACGTAAAAATGGAAAAATCCATTTCCATCAGCAGGATGCACTGAGTGGCCCAACTAGCCAGGCTCAGAGGTATTATTTTGTTGCTCTTCCTTTCCAGAAAGTTGTGGTGTTCCTGGGTTTTGTGCTGGTGGAAAACCCCATTAGCACCACTAACCAGGTGCGTCCTAGTGTGTTAGGACATTATTCCGTTTTCAAAGTATTTTCTACCTTTGTGGGTATAATAGATACTTTAATCAGCCTAAACTTCCAGTGGTTGCATGCATGTCATGCATGTCTGATGTCATAATGAATGGAGCATGCAGGAGTGTCACTGTGGAACAAGACCCAGTGGGGGTGTAAAGGGATCTAAAACACTTGAGTTCTGTTGAATGCTTTCCTTAACCTGGTTTGTTGAGGGCAGTCGACACACATGACAAAAGCAAATGGATATTTTGTATTTGTTTTCAAATTGCCTTTAAAACTCCTGATTGGATTATTGTAATTGCTTGGAATTTTGTTCTGTACACAGCAGAGCAGCATTTCTTATGCTTTGTGCAGAGTTAGCGCATGAGATGCTTTCTAAGGTATTTTGGCATGTTGCTGCCTTCTGAAATGTCGTTAGACAGAAATTTTCAAATGTGAGTTACAAAAGTGTTTGTTGCATATTGTCTGCTGCTGCAGCTGTAAAAGCCTTGGGTGCTTGTTTTAAAGTTCTTTTTCTGTTTCAGAAGAGTCTCTCAGAGATGTGCCTAACTTAAAGAAACTGTTGATGAAAGCTCTGACACTCTTTATTGATGCAGCCGAAAGTTATTCTAAGGTAAATTGAGATGGAATTGGAACTTTGTAAAGTATTAATTATCAGCATTGGCCAAGGAAGGCTGAGAGATGGATTAAGGCTGAATAGTAGGCAGAGCTTCCCTGGGAGTGATGCTCAGAGACCCATCCTGGTTGGAGAGGAAAAGGAGCTTTTGAAGCAGCCACCCATGATGTGCCACATTGCAGGGCAGGGGCAAAAGAGATCCCTCTGACAGAGCCTAATACCTGAGCCTGCTTATCCACGTGACCACTGAATCAAAGAGTAACTTGTTGCTCCCTGCTCAGCATTTAGTGTCTGGGATTAAATTTAGAAGCTTTCATCTCATGGGAAGGAGAGAATCAGTTGGCTTTGGTGCTGAGCTAACCGTTTTAATCTGGGGTGAGGGAAAATAGAACAGTATTAAAGGTGTGATTAAAGACTGGCCTCCACTTATTACAATAAAATTGAGTTGCTGAGTGGGGCTTCATATATAGGTGCATTAAAAGTGATTAATCAAAGCAACTGCAGTGATTTACAAGACAAAATACTAAGATAGGTCTGAAGCCTCCGGAGCTGTGCTTGGGAACATGCACCCCAGCTTTCCGATAGAAACGTTACGCCAGGAGCTTGGTTTTGCTTTTCTGTTTTGACTCTTGAATTAGGATTCCTGTATCCGCCAGTCCTTGCGCTGCAACCGGTTGACAAAGCTGATAACCCTCCAGCTTCATTTTCTGAACACGAATCAGAGCACGATGTTGATTAACCTGAACAGACAGAACCTGATGGATTGCATCATGTCCCTGCCCAGATTCTACCAGGTAAAGTGACTGAGTAAGGGATGCTGCATCCATTTCACTCACCACAGCACTATAAAGGCTCACAAGGTGAAATGCTGCTCCCCAGGTTTATAATAGAAAATATGTTTGAGAATAAAGACAGCTGGTGGCAGTGGCCATGTTACAGGCAGGTGACAGCACCTGTAGCCCCAGCAGTGTGGGAAGCCAATGGGAAAAGGCATTTTCCTTCTCAGCTTCTGGAATTCACTTAAGGCAAGAAGGACCTCAGACAGAAACAAAGACTTTTTAAAGAGAACCAATAGCCCTTCAACACCAGAGATGGACCCTCCCTCCAACAGCAAGTCGAAGTGAGAATATTCTGGCCTCTTTGGTTTTCAAAGTTAAAGGAGATGAATTCTCCAGACAAAATATGTTTCCCAGTTGTGTGGCCTTTGGACCTTTTCACTGGCTGTTCAGTGACCCCTATTTTGCCATGTCTTGTCCTTTCTTTCCCCCTCTTGCCATGTTCTTAAAGAAATGTCAAGGGGACCTGCTACTCTGTGTTTATATGTTAGCTACAAAAGGATCTCTCAGAACTGGGTGACTGGGCAACAAAATGGCAGATGAAATTCAGTGTTGATTAATGCAAGGTAATGCACATTGGAAAACATAATCCCAGCTATACATATTAAATGATGGGATCTAAATTGGCTGTTACCACTCAAGAAAGATCTTGGAGTCATTGGGATAGTTCTCTGAAATCATCCACTCAGTGTGCAGCGGCAGTCAAAAAAGTGAACAGAATGTTGGGAATCATTAAGAAAGGGACAGATAAGGCAGAAAATATCATATTGCCTCTGTATAAATTCATGGTACGTCCACATCTTGAATGCTGTGTGCTAATGTGGTCGCTCCATTTCAAAAAAGATATATTGGAATTGGAGAAGGTTCAGAAAAGGCCAACAAAAATGATTAGGTGTATGGAACGGCTGAAGTATGAGGAGAGATTAATAAAACTGGGACTTTTCAGTCTGGAAAAGAGACAACTGGGGGGGATCTGATAGAGGTCTATAAAATCATGACTTGTGTAGAGAAAGGAAGTGTTATTTACTCCTTCTCATAACACAAGAACTAGGGGTCGCCAAATGAAATTAATAGGCAGCAGGTTTAAAGCAAACAAAAGGAAGTATTTTTTCACACAACACACAGCCAACCTGTGGAACTCCTTGTCAGAGGATGTTGTGAAGGCCAAGACTATAACAGGGTTCAAAAAAGAACTAGGTAAGTTCATGGAGGATAGGTCCATCAATGGCTATTAGCCAAGAGCGGCAGAGATGGTGTCCTTAGCCTCTGTTTGCCAGAAGCTGGGAATGGGAGACAGGGAATGGATCACTTGGCGATTACCTGTTCTGTTTGTTCCTTCTGGGGCACCTGGCATTGGCCACTATCAGAAGACAGGATAATTGGCTTGATGGACCGTTGGTCTGACCCAGTATGGCCATTCTTATATTAATGTTTGAATGTGTTTATATGTTAATCTTCTGGGTCTATTACAAAATCCTATCTTCTCCTTTCTCTCTTCTCCCAACTCTTAAGGCCCCAAACTGCTTCAAATTCCCTTTAACTTCAGTAAGAACCGTATCTTCTAGCCTTGAATTTCCATCCTATTTTCAAGTTTCTTCTTCCCTCTCCATCATACCTACTCCCCACTCCACATCCCTCTGTTTATCTATAGTTCCACAGTGACCCTTGCGTTCCTCCTTAAAAGAATGGCCTTGAGACAACAGTGTAAAGAACTGAGCCAGAGAGGCCATGGCAGTCTGCACCTGAAATGCTTGAGTACTGCCAAAGTGCAAACAAAAGCAGGCAAAACCACATGGCTGGAAAGCTTCATCAGTTAAACCAGCTTGTGGCCCATCCTAGTCAGTAATTCTGGCATGTTCTCCTTCTAGGTTGCTATTGTGTCTGAGGCTTATGACTTTGTTCCAGACTGGGCTGAAGTTCTGTATCAACAAGTGATTATAAAGGGCGACTTCAATTACCTGGAAGAATTTAAGCAACAAAGGTTACTCAAATCCAATGTATTTGAGGAGATTGCGAAGAAGTAAGTATTTCTGCAACCCTGCATGGCTATGCCTTGTGTCTTTCTGGCAAGTGACTTCAAAGAGAGTGGTTTTATTTGTATTCGCTTATAGAATACAAGTCATCTGGCGTGGTGTCAGCCCAGTACACTGCTTGGGGAGAGCAAAGTTCAGGAGGGATTCTTGCCCCTTATTCCCAATCTTAAGCATGTTGTGTTGCGGCAACCATGCAGTTGGCCCTCCGGAGGGAGCAGCACTGTAAAGTAGCCTGCCCCTCCTTTCTAAGAGCAGCTGTGCTAGCTTGGCCTCTGAGGTAACTCCTCTGCCCTCCTCACCAAGTGCCACCGTGGGAGGAGATCTAGGAACACTGAGGGGTAAAATGGTGATCCCGAAGTGAGTGGCATGGAGATCCCCTGAATGCTAGTTGTAGTTGAGTTTTGTTGTTCTCTCACATGACCTTCTCTCAAGGCAGTAGATACACTGTTTCAATAATTGTGCTCTTGTAGGCTAGTGTGAAAACAGGTTTAATTTATTAATTCATCAGTGCTTAAAGACAGTTCATAACATAGATCACTTGTTTTTATACGTACAAAACTAGTTTTTGTTGAGCTAAAAAGTTATTTCCTGAATGAAACTAGTAACAGTGGTGTTCTTTCTTTAATTGATCTCACAAACAACGTGTAAGAAATTAGCAGCTAATTCTTCCATTGCATAGTCATAAGGAGAAGTTACTGATATGCCATCAAATTAAATATGTTTCAATCATCTCTCACATACCCAGTTCAGATCTTCATTCTTGTACCTTCTCATTGACCTCACGTGCAGGTTGGCAGACTCCAGCCCAATCTGTAAAATAACTATCCAGAGGTGGTGTGAGAATTGCTTTGTGTGGCATTTTGTGCATGTCAATCACTCTGATTGCTGTGAAGGGGAAGGAGGATTGTGTGGCTAGCACAGGGAGTCAGGACATTTGGATTCTATTGCCATCTCTGCCATAGACAATGCTGTGAAAGCACGTTGGCTGAGTAACTACCCTATGTTACTGTTGCCACCTCTGTTGGCCCTTTGTTGCATCATATACAGAATGAGATTCACTGCTCCTGGTGGCAGAGTCCATGTGCTATTTACTATATTGTGAGGCACTTCGCACACTTAGGTGCTGTCAGATACTATCAGCCATTTAGTGTGGTGGAGAGAACTTCCTGCAGGGCTCAGAACTCTTTATAACCTAGTCAGCTTTTTGTCTTTAACAAATGTCTAGCTTTAAAATAACCTTTGCAGAAGAGTATGGAGAAGCAAAACACAAATCCTTTCCAAGAACCATCTCTACAAGTTCCTCTGCCCCCCCTCCCCACCCCCAGCCTGCATTTTTCTTTAGATATCAGAACTTCTTCCCATCTCATGTGATGTTCTTCAGCTTTGTCAATCTTATTTGTAAGCTTGCCCTTTCTCCCCTTTTAATATAACACAAAATTCTGTCTCAGGGTCAAACAGCACCAGCCAACTGAGACTGCTCAGAAAAATCTGAAGACGTTACTGACCTACTGTGAAGACATCTACCTGTACTACAAATTGGCGTATGATAACAAGTTTTATGATGTGGTAAATATGCTTTTGAAGGATGCGCAGACTGGCTGCTGTCTAAAGGATATGCTGGCAAATTAGATTCCAGCCTAAGTGCCATGAAGATTCTAGCCCAGACAAGCAGGAGTACCATGGCTTGCACTGTCCAGCTCCTGGTCACTTGCTGCTAGGTGCCTTAAAAAAAATTTGCTTCAGTATGTGAAATTTACTATAAAATCCCAGCACTGTTTTGAACGTCCCTGAAACACAGACACTATTAACCCAAAGTTGTTTTGGACAATAAACAATTCTTAATATTTAAATCAGAGTTGAACAAAATGTTTTGTAAAAGCCTGCTTGGTGGGCCTAGAAGATGGTGCTCTGGCCAGCTGGGATTTCAGCCAGACTTTATTCTAAAATGACTTTGGCTAATTTAGAGGCATGGATTACTGGCTTTAGCAGGAATTGCATGCAAGCCTTCTTAAAAACAAAAAACTGCCAAATGCTGAGGATCTTACTGCTGCAAAATTAATGTGTGGTACTTACAGTAACTTAAACGGAACATCAGATCAAATATTTATCTGTTTAAAATGGGCTAATAGATGTTCTGCTGACCTTACAAGATCATTAGTGCAAGTACGATACTTGAAACATTCATATTAAAAAGTCTCTTGCCTATTTTTCCAAAATCTTCAGAGGAAGCAATTTGCCTAGGATACTCCTCTCTAGTGCTTTATGCAAATGAGATTATTTTTACCTGCCCACTGTAAGATTTATAGGAATACCATAATAGTCAGTGACAAGAATGGACTACCTCTGTGTTCACAGAGAGTTAAGATGTTATGTGCTTTTAGAGTACACTCTTCTTTTACCAGTGAAACAAAGGAGAATTTGCTACGTGTGTTGTGCGTGCACACATTATCACAAAGTGTCTAACATTCACCATATACAATTGTTTTGTTTGCTGCTATATTTGTATTTAAAATCTTTAAAGCCTCTAGCATTGGTATTGACTGGCTGGGAATAAACCTCTTTACAGCTGTATGCATTTTGGAAACTCTTGCTTAAATACTAGTTCCTAGTCTTACATGCAAAAGTAAATCACCACTGACTGCTTTGGGGTGGAGTCATGTGCACTAGTTAACTGTTTAAGGCAAACTTATCCAGAAGTGTTTGGAAAAAGGGGGGAAATCTGTTTCTGGTTTTCTGAATAGTTCCAAAATATCTAGACATAATTGTTCATAAACTTTTCCCTGGAGTGTTCTGACAAGTTCTGTCTGCAGCATTCCCAGGTGGTGGCCTATCACTGTAGTAGGAATATCAAACATAACAACTGGGCTTGATGTCTTTCAACAGGCTGTTTAAGAATGATCCTTCCATCAGGAAAAGCCTCATCGCTGATCCTGATGACACTGGTGTGTAGGGGAGCTGAGTCTGCTCTAGTGGAAGGGACCAAGTATTTCTATTGCCGTAGGCTGTTTTGTCTCAGTATTCACCCCCACGCTGAGTTGCACTAGTTCCATTGTGACAGAGCAGCACCTCAGGGGAAATGAAGGGCTAGAGTCTCAGGATTTGCTTCCTCGCCCTGGGCTAAGAATGTCTTCGTTTGAGTAGCTTTTTAACTCCCAGAAGTACTTTGAGCACAGGAAGGGCTTCAGATATGGTTAAGTTAAATGTTCAGTAAGACTCAAATGCTATTTACCTTTGGCTGTACCAGTGTATTTTAAAAGCAAAGACCTATTTCTGGAGCTGGGTGTCTTGGTTGGAAGTTTTCTGTTCCATAACCCAGAGTACACACATTTCATAAACAGGAAGAATTGTCCAACTGTAGCAAACAGCTTTTCCTCAAGCTGCCAAGAGTATCCAGTAGCCTAATCCTATTCAGCAGTGTTCCCATTCACCTACACACTGCAAGCTTCAGACAATTTTGTCTTAGTTGCTAGGATAATGCATTTTTGTATGATTAAGATTCTGGTAATTTGCTCCTTGACTGTCCTACCAGATACACTGACTATTGGAGTTCCATATTTCTTGGTAATTAATAGCCAGCTGAAGATTCTTTATCCAGTGAGTCCATTGATTAGTGGCTCTTGCATTTAATTGGATAATAAGATTATCTTGAAGGTCCTGTGTGTTGTGCAGCTGCTTCCATTCCATTCTTAAATTTAAAAAAATGGAGGTTTAATACATATAAAGAATACATACTACAGCTGCACTGTGTAGGCTATAAAAACTGAATTTACTCTAGAACCCAATGTGCTAACTCTATTGAAGTCAGGAAGACTAGTCACATAGTTAACATTAAGTATGTACATCTACAACTGTTTGCAGCATTGAGGCTTGTTTGACATGGTGCAGTTTTGTTTGGAAAAAGCACACCTGGCTATTTCTGCTAAAGCTATCTTAACAGTTGACATCTAAGTGGGATGTTTCTTAAAGATGAAATTTAGTTAAGTGGGGTGAGTGACTGCTTTTCATTTTGGGCTATTAGTCTGCACTTGGTTCACATTTTCAAGTTTATTTTAATGATAAAGGCTACAAAATAACTTGAACATTGATTCCTAAAGCACCATTCTTCAATTCTACCCCAGAGGCAGCTGAATTTCAGTTCACACGTACATCTCTGAAAGATTTTTTCTGAGCAACTGAAAGCAGTATTGTTACTTGAGTACCACAGGTAGAATAAGGAAGCAGCCAGCCAGCCTCTGCCAGGTAAAATATTTTTTCATAGAAAAAGCAACACAGTGAGGATTTTTCATGCCTGTTAGCCAAACCATGTTTTAAAGAAGGTCCTGTCAGATCCAGGCTACATCTTTAAAGTGACACTATAAAGTCACATGAGGTAAACAAAACCACCACCCCATACATTAGAAATTGGCTGCCCAAAAAACAAGAGCAAGACCCTTAAGGTTAAGCAAGAAAAAGGTAGCATTATGACCCATCTTAATTGGTATAATTTGAGAGACAAAAGTAAATTCTAGTGACACCCAAGAGATAGATACATACCTGTCAACTGTGCTTGGAGGTAGTGGAGCATCTACAGTTAGTCCCCATGAGTTGTAATACTGGGGAAAAAGTCAAGAAAATAAAGACTTATCACAAAGCTAGAATGATGCTAATGCCTTTCAGAGCATGTAGAAATACACTTGAGATAAAAAGGATGAAGGCTGTAGAGCTAGCTGCACCTCTGACCACCACTTGTCTCTAGATGCATCCACATCTGACTAAGCTCTAGCCCTGGGGCAGTGCACAAGGCAGGCTTTGCTTCTGATCCTCCAGCAGAGATGCAAGAGAGCATGTTTGCCAGGAACAGCTCTGCCAGCTGCATCTCCCTCTCTCAGTAATGTGACTGTTTAGTGTCCTTTGATCTTCAGGCTTCCAGCTTTGGTTGGCAAAACAAGTCTTGTAACTTTGGCTGGAGCCTGGAATTATCACCCCCCCAACTAATAGCTTGGGCATTATGCAGCAATGACCCCCCCCACGTTTTCCAAGAGATGGCTTATTGGGAGACATTGTATCCTCTCCCTCTGGGGTTTTGCATACATCCCTGCTATTAAATATTCTAATATAGCCATAAACTATCCCCATAACCAGGTTACATACAGTATTCAGGCCCATGCCCTTCAGACATTCCATTAAATAGTTTTAAACTACAATTCTGGCCCTTAACAAAATTCCAGTTTTGTTTAAGCTGGAGCTCTGTGTAATGCAGAAATAGAAAGACCTGAGACTACAGACTGAGCAGAGATGTCACATCTAACATTCTTTCGCCCTTTAGTTAAGGGGCAAGTGATATGAACTCCCACCATATGGAAATCTCTAAAGGTCCACTAAGCCCAGGCTTAACATTCCTGACATGAAGGTTAAAAACTAAACAAAATTTTGTGCACATGTATCTGAATTCAGTGTTAAGGATGATGTCCCAAGTGGTTTTGTAACCTTTCCTTGCCATTGTTTTTAGTAAGGTGGGGTGTAATAGTATGTCTTGTTTTAAATTGCTGCTTTAGATTCAACTAAAGTGTGGAAACAGATTTCAAATAAAGGATCGCAGTGCTGAATACACTGCAATCCCATGCCCCAGTTCTGTTTCATTATACTGCCAATTTCAAGGTTCATTCATTTGGAACAGTGAAGTAAGCCACACCAAGAAACGGGACATGCATACTAGACTATAGGGACAAGCTGTCTGGTGGTCACTCACTGCAGCAAGCAGCCACTTCATATTGAAGAGACTCCTCTTTCCTCTTGTCAGCTTAGCTATGTGGCCCAGAAACACTGTTCTAGAGCTTAGTTAACACTAAAATAAGTACTCCCAATACACAGGCTCTGAAGTCCTCACAATAGTGATTTTATTAAATTAGTTGCTTTATAAAACATTGCAGATGTCATAATTGTTAACATAACAATTTGCCCAACTGTAGTAACTGTTGCAGTTTGCTAAGCAGGTTTTTGTAAATGAAAGAAAATGGTAAAGTCCTGTGAGAGTTCTATCGCAGCCCATGAGAACAAAGGAAATTTGGTTCTCAGATAGACACTTAAACCAGGCAGTTAACTGTTAGAATAACCAACCCATACAGCTGCATTAGTAGAAATATTCAGATAAATGTAAACTGCTTATACTCAAGATACCACAAATCATTTTTCAAATGCAACAAGGAACTATTTTCTTGTTTTGACCAAAATAAGTTTTATTTTAAAATGTCATGCTTTGAAAGAATGGGTGCGTATCAAGTGATTAATTTTCAGGTGCAGTATCCTTACTTTGAAGTTAGCAGTCCCCTTCACAATCTATTTTTAAAAAACCCAAGCTCTAACTTAGACAAAGCAATTTTAATACTAAGTGCACACCATGCCTTTGCTGCAAACTGCTTTTGTTCACAAGATAAATCATTCAAGGAGGTACAGTTAAGGCTGCATTACTAAACTGTGCTGGTAATAATACAACTTTTGCTGTGTTGAAATTCATGTCCAACTTAGTGGTTTTGTTACTATGAAACCAGATAGCAACAATTAAAAACATTATTAGAATTTTGGTTTTTTCTGTGATTTATATAGGAATGGAGTTTCATCATTTCAACCCCTTGACGACACAGGTATCCCAATGCTTTAGCACCACCCTGTCAAAGAGTTAAATAACCAGCACAAAGATACTGCACTTCCAATTGTAGCATTTGGCAGAATTTAAAGGAAAAGAAGTTGTGCTACATGTTTAAGGGCAAAAGAAAGACAACACAAGGAAAGATGTCACATGAAGTCTTCAAAATCTTGTACATATCCTCCGTCATATCCTCCATAATCTGCCAGATCATCTTTCATAGTGGCCTTTAAACCACCTCCAGGCACAACCCCTTTTTTCTTCTTTTTGGCTTTACTTTGCTGAGGAAAGACCAAAAAAGCTTTGGTTTATTTTAGAGTCAGTATTAAATGTAACATGCTAATTTCCTTGAAGTGCTGGTAAAAAATATGAAGAATATTAACCCGAGCATCCTGACAGTTTCCTATCTGGGAACTAAATACAGCACACTTCAATTCCCCTGTACTTCTGATCTGTTAGCTGGCAAAAGTGTTCACTTCCTACCACGTAAGGCGTGTGCACTACTGCTGTTGAATTTTACCCCAGAGGCAACTGAATTTAAGTTCAACTCTTATTCATGGCAAACACACTACGTCTAGCAGACTCGCCTCACCATAATCAGAATAGCAGCATGTACTCTATGGTACACTGGAACACCCTTCACCGAACTTATCACACTATCTGCAGCATAAGCTTATTTTCCTGAAGGAAGGGAGACACTTCCCAAATGCAAAATTACACATGTTCAGGTTTATACGGTTACTGATTTAGTTGGTGGGAATCTTTATTTTAGAGTTTTATATGGCTTCCCATCACCATAGTATCAGAGCACGTAAAGTCAGGAGCAAAATCCCGAGTGAATTGATGGAGTGTCTGGTTCTTCTGTTTTAAGGTAAAAACTTTGCTCGGGTCTGGTCTTTTTGGTTGGCTGATTTAAAAAAACGAAACGTGATTCAGCCAAGATCACTTACAAGTGGTACGTTGTGAGCTTCCTCCAATATTGTACATTAATACTCCAAAGAGCTACAATATTGTGAGTTACTGAGTTGAGGGGCAAGCTATTTCCTGTATGCTAACATTAACCACTTTGGTAAATTCTTCGTAAATGGATGGGACAAAGGTGCCAGGCACAGAAGGATTAATAGAAAAGTTAGCTAGACCAAAGAGAAATAAATACCTGACCTCCAAATCTGAGATTTGATTTAAAAAAAAGCGCCAAGTTTAGCATCCTGATGAAATTCAGCTAGCAAAATCAGCAGTGAAGCACAAACAGCATAACTACGTTCAGCCACAACTGCACCTGCCCTTCTCTTAGCTTTGTAAATAGACAGGGAAGTTCATCTCACTAAAAGTCTAGTTCTATTAGAAATGCAAAATTAGTTCAATATCACTCTACAGATGATTTTTATAGCCAAGTTTACACTGTTACTCTTCTTTTGAACTAAACCATTTATTGTACATTGCCACGAGAGCAGTTTGGAGAACATGCCTAGAAAATGTTTCCAATCACCCACCAATTTTGGGTAGAAAGTAGCAGAGTTGTGCATTTATGGAGCATTTATTATTCACGTTGAAGGCCCAGAAGCAGGTTGCTTCCTTCAAAGAACTCTCTAGTATAAGTTTTGAAACCAGTCTCATTTCAGTTATCTGCTAGGCAGTATGGCTTGGATTTGCCAGTTAATGTTCAGTTAACTATTTTTTAAAACCAATTTTTAAAATTCTGGTCTCATTGACCTTTAGCTATGCAATTCCCTCACAACTTTAATGTTATAACTTTTGCACAAGAAACATTTTACACAATCTGTATAATCACAAAGCACCAATTATCCTATAATCTGATACAGTGTTATCACTCACTTAATGCTTTTTCCACTTAAGTTGTATGGCACACCAGAGAGGCATACTGACATGCTAGCTAGTTCTGTTATCTGCTGTTAAGTCACTCTGATCACATTGATCTTAGTTTTATTAAAGGTTGAGGATAAAGATTCAAATTACTTCCATAAACACGTTTAACTGATTCTAGTTTTCTGGTTTTAACTAAAATATACGCTTCTCCCACCTTTCCAGGACAACTGGACACTTCCACTCCAGCACAGAGGCCAAAAAATTGAACAGAATCAGTGCAAATATGCAAGGAGGTAAAGTTAAAGATTACTGGCAGAACGGTGCTTACTTTACATGAGCGTACTTACGTTTATGAGACATTCTCAAGTTTAGCTCTAGGACGATATCCCAAATCAGAATTTCAATTTCAACCGTCTTCTCATTAACAGTGTTAAGTCAAAAGCACATTTGAATTCAAAACCTAGAACCCCTTAGATTTATAGAAGGTGCACATCTTAGTGCATACTGGGATTATGCAAGTTATGGAAAGACAGTATAGAAAGATGCAGAAGTCTTACCTTCTCTTGTTTTTGTTTTTCACTGCATAGCACTGTCAAAGCATTTGTGATCTTTTTCAAATCATCAACTTCCACTACAAAGAGGAAGAAAATTAGACTTCTACCAATGTAGTTTTCAGAAAGCCTTCAAATAATCATTGAATCCTCTAAAATCCATTAAGTGGAGATTTATATCTGGTAGTTTACCCCTTTAACTGGAGTCAAAATCTCATTGTTAACACTAGGGCAATGTTGATTCTTGGCATCACAGTCGAGGATCTCACATCCCCTTGATAACTTGCGTAATGGGCAGCATAAGATGGCCAACATAATCAATACATTTAGGAGGCCAACATTTGAACAGAGTTACATCTTATGTTTCTAAAGCTTATGCTTCAAGGTTTCAGTCTGCCATTGGTAGGGGTCAGCAAGTGATTCCCCCCTCCCCCAAATCCATGTTAGTTTTTAAATCTTCTTCCTCTGGATCGGGAATGGCCATGGCTGGGGATGGGACATTGGGCAAGGGGGGTTAGGCCTCTGAGATGCCACCGAGAATTCTCTCTCAGGTGCATGGCTGGCTGGTTCTTGCTCACATGCTCAGGGTCTAACTGATCACCATATGTGGGGTCAGGAAGAAATTTTCTCCATGTCAGACTGGCAGTGACCTTGGGGGGTTTTCAGCTTCCTCTCCTGTGTGGGGGTACTGGTCTCTTGCCAGGATTATCTGGGTATGTTTCATTTTCCTGCCATTATGGGGGCCTCAAGCCCTGGTGCACTTCAGTCCCTCCTATTCTCTATCTGTGGCACATAAATCTAGTCTCCTGTAGGCTGTAATACCTGGTCTCAATTGGATTGTTCAGTATAGCTTGCAGGTGCTGGGGGACGTTGGAGGCCCATGATATACAGGAGGTAAGACGAGGTTATGTGGTGGTCCATTCTGGCCTTAAACTCTATGAGCAGCACATTATGCCCCTAGATTTGTAATATGGTCAACTGTTTGTGCCTGAAGGTAAATGTTTTGCCTAAAATAAGTTTGAAGGCTCAGAGAGAGAGAGAAGCATCCAGGTGGAGAGGGATGTTACATGCACTTAATGCTCAGTTTGACACTCCTTCATGTTAGAGGATTTGGACTCCAATCTAACAGTTCAGCATCTGTTGCAGTAGGCCAACCACCCACAATGTATTTATATGACACAAGCCACAATATCAAATTGCCACTACACTGAAGGACAGGATGTACAAGCACAGGCAAAAGGGAAGTCTCAAAACAGAATTACGCACCAAATATCTCAGCCATCCAAAGCAGTCAAAACAAGTCACCTGTAGTTTTATTTCAACAGACAGTTACGTTTTGGAATTAAACTGCTCTAAATTTCCAGTGTTATAGGATCTCATTCCCCTACTGAGCTATTTAGAATTAAATGGATCGGGGAGCCTTTTCCTCTTCTTGAATAGAGGTTCTGCAAGGCTGTGTAAGACTTAGATCAGTACAAAATTTGCCTGTATGTTTAAGTGGGCTATCCTGACCTGACAGCACCATTCAGAGAAGATCAATCACAGAGGAAACACCACCTTCATTAAAAGATGAAGAGCATGCAAGTACTGATTCTCAGTCAGGTAGCAGTCAAAAATAGTCTCTGGGAGGGGTATCAGTGCATCATTTAATGTAGGACTGCATAAATCCCAATTCAGTTTTACTTGATTAATATGTTTACTACTTTAGCCCTCCACGGAATGTGCTAGGAAATCTCACACTTGAAATAAAGACTTACATGAAATACATACGTCTCGAACTAATGCTTCCAAAAAACTGGCATAATGTAGAGATTTTTCATACTGTGTAATTTTTTCTTTTAATAATTTGCCAAACTCCGTAAAGTCATCTTTTGAAGATGGATTCATGGCATCTATTCCACAAGTATTATTTACACCTGCAGTGAAAAACATAGTATCAGAGAAAATATTGGTGCATTTAACTGTAGTTTGTGTGGGAGGTGAGACTGACCACACAACGTAAGCCCTCTAGCCACAGAACAGGTAATTTATCTCTACTCCCCTTCAGTTCCTTACCTCAGCTGAAATGACCAACAAGGCAGCAAGAGCCCAAACAACTTCAGTTACTAACAATTCATGCTGGATTTGAACTAGTGATTTAAGTGAAAGGCTACATATCCCATGAGTTGTACTGAACCACCTACTCTGGAATAGTACTGGAGACAGTATTTTCTCCTTACATAAATTCTAGGCCTCAAGCCTGCAGTACTAGGTTTAGTTGGGATTTTTTAAATTGACTATTAGGATTGTGACTTTTCTCAGGCTGTCAAGCGATTAAAAAAAATGAATCGCAATTAATCACACTGTTAATAGAATACCATTTATTTAAATATTTGTGGATGTTTTATACATTTTCCATTATTGATTTCAATTGCAACACAATACAAAGTGTACAGTGCTCACTTTATATTTATTACAAATATTTGCACTGTAAAAAATAAAAATAGTACTTTTCAGTTCACTTAATACGGGTACTGTTGTGCAATCTCTTTATCATAAAAGTTGAACTTACAAACTAAACAGAATTATGTACAAAAAACCCTGCATTCAAAAACAAAACAACGTAAAAACTTCAGAACCTACAAGTCCACTGAGTCTGACTTGTTCAGCCAATTGCTCAGACAAATAAGTTTGTTTACATTTACAAGAGATAATGTTGCCCACTTCTTAATTAGTGTCACCTGAAAGTGAGAACAGGCATTCGCATGTCACTGTTGTAGCCAGCATCGCAAGATATTTACATGCCAGATGTGCTAAAGATTCATACATCGCTTGATGCTTCAACCACCATTCCAGAGGACATGCGTCCATGCTGATGACAGGTTCTGCTTGATAACGATCCAAAGCAATGCAGACCAACGCATGTTCATTTTCATCATCTGAGTCAGCTGCCACCAGCAGAGGGTTGATTTTCTTTTTTGGTGGTTCGGGTTCTGTAGTGTCCGCATCGGAGTGTTGCTCTTTTAAGACTTCTGAAAGCATGCTCCACACCTTGTCCCGCTCAGATTTTGGAAGGCACTTCAGATTCTTAAACCTTGGTTCCAGTGCTGTAGCTATCTTTAGAAATTTCATATTGGTACCTTCTTTGTGTTTTGTTAAATCTGCAGTGAAAGTGTTCTTAAAATGAACAACATGTGCTGAGTCACCATCCCAGACTGCTCGAACATGAGATCTACGGCAGAACGCGGGTAAATCAGAGCAGGAGACACACAGTTCTCCCCCAGGGGTCAGTCACATGTAATTTACCCCTTATTTTTTAACAAGCATCATCAGCGTGGATGCGTGTCCTCTGGCACGATGGCCAAAGCATCAAGGGGCGTATAGATCTTTAGCGCATCTGGCATGTAAATATCTTGCGACACCAGCTACAACAGTACCATGTAAACGCCTGTTCTCACTTTCAGGTGACACTAATTAAGAAGCGGGGAGCATTATCTCCCATAAATGTAATGTGGCAAATTGCTGGCACTACTTTGATGGGTCTCGCGCTCTCTCTTCTTGGGGAGGGTTCAGGGCACCATTTCTCACCCCTGAACTGGGGTATTAACTGCCTCACTAGTGTCCTAGAGGAGGGGAGTGGAGAGGGAGGGACCAAGGCCCGCCCTCTACTCCGGGTCCCAGCCCAGGGGCCCTATGGAAAGCGGTAAACCACTTGAACTAGCAGTTCCTTCCCCTGGGCTACTTCCCTCTCCTGCCCTTCAGCTTGTGGGGCTTCCTGCCCTCCCTCTGCACAAACCAGGTGTCCTTTTACCTAGGGTCTTAGACTTCTTAGCCCACCGCAGCACTTCTCCAAACTCTCCTCTGCTTCCCTCCAAACTGCTCTCTGCTCCAACACCAATCCACTCTGCTTCAACTCCTTCCCTTGTCCGATTGAAGCAGGGGGGTTTTATCAGGTGACTGGCTTCAGGTGCTTTAATTAATCTATAGCAAACTTTCTTCCCTCTACAGGGAATAAGGCTCCCTTCTAACACTCTCCTGCTGCCCTCTGGCCATGCTGTATCACATAAAACAAACTTGTTTCTGTTAGCAATTGTCTGAACAAGAAGTAAAACTTAGTGGACTTGTAGGCTCTAAAGTTTTACATTGTTTTGTTTTTGAGTGCCGTTATGTAACAAAAAACCCTACATTTGTAAGTTGCACTTTAATGATAAAGATATTGCACTATAGTACTTGTATGAGGTGAATTGAAAAATACTATTTCTTTTGTCAGGTTTCAGAGTAGCAGCCGTGTTAGTCTGTATTCGCAAAAAGGAAAAGGAGGACTTGTGGCACCTTAGAGACTAACCAATTTATTTGAGCATGAGCTTTCGTGAGCTACAGCTCACTTCATCAGATGCATTCAGTGGAAAATACAGTGGGGAGATTTATATACATAGAGAACATGAAACACACACTAATGACAGTGATCACTTAAGGTGAGCTATTACCAGCCGGAGAGCAGGGTGGGGGACAACGACGACGACTGGACTTTTTGTAGTGATAGTCAAGAGACTGGGAGTGGATGGGTCATTACACAAAGTAAAACTATTTCCCCATGTTTATTACCCCCCTCCACCCCCCACTGTTCCTCAGAGGTTCTTGTCAACTGCTGGAAATGGCCCACCTTAATTATCACTACAAAAAGTCCCCCCCCATAATAGCTCATCTTAAGTGATCACTCTCGTTACAGTGTGCATGGTAACACCCATTGTTTCATGTTCTCTATGTATATAAATCTCCCCCCTGTATTTTCCATTGAATGCATCCGACGAAGTGAGCTGCAGCTCACAAAAGCTTATGCTCAAATAAATTTGTTAGTCTCTAAGGTGCCACAAGTCCTCTATTTTTTGTGTATCATATTTACAGTGCAAATATTTGTAATAAAAATAAAGTGAGAAGTGTACACTTTGTATTCTGTGTTGTAATTGAAATAGATATAGTTTAAAATGCAGAAAAACATCCAAAATATTTAATACATTTCAATTAATTGGGATTATTTTTTTTAATTGTGATTAATTTTTTTGAGCTAATCGCGTGAGTTAACTGCGATCAATCAACAGCCACAGATTTTTCCAAACCAAAGCAGACTGGATTATTTCTGAAGAAAATCACTAAAAAAATACAAGTGAAAGCACTCCCAGAAAACATGAAGGCTGTATTAAACCCACTGCATAATTCACTTGGTAAGTAGGGTGAAAAAAATCCAGTTTATTTATATTGGATTTTTTATTGTAGTTTTAAATGTGTATATAAATATAAATCTGGTTTTACAAACTACATTAAGGCCTAAATTTATAATCTCAAAAATTTAAACAAAATAAATGTTGTCATGAACCTCTATCAGAAACCTGGATTTGTGCTGGAAATGGCCCACCTTGATTATCATACACATTGTAAGGAGAGTGATCACTTTACATAGGCTATTACCAGCAGGAGAGTGGGGTGGGGGGAGAGAAAACCTTTTGTAGTGATAAACACACATTTTTTCATGATTTGTGTGTATAAAAACAAACATCTTCTGTATTTTCCACAGTATGCATCTGATGAAGTGAGCTGTAGCTCACGAAAGCTTATGCTCAAATAAATTGATTAGTCTCTAAGGTGCCACAAGTACTCCTTTTCTTTTTGCGAATACAGACTAACACGGCTGTTACTCTGAAACCTATCAAAAACTATAAGTTAAAGGCTGCTTTTCTATATAAAAGAAAGAATCAGTGGAAAAACATCTAATTTTTGAGGTCAAGCTTTATAAATATGGCACAGTAGGTCATGAACTATACTAAGGGCTTGTTTTGTTTAATAAAAATAAGTTTTATATGCTGTTGTGTGGTTAATTAAGTTCCAGTCACAATCCTAATGCAGCTTGATGCAAATCATGAGCAAAAAGTTAATTATCTGGTAAATAAGCAATATATCATTCACCACTTTAGAACATACTAAAAATGTACAAATTAATAAGAATTTGAAAATATTAAGCTATATAATTGCTTAGATAAATGTACAGTGTACTCTGCTAGGTAGCAAAAAGATGCACCAAATTTTGTGTAAAAGCTCCATTTAGTTGTAAATCAATATGTTTTAATGGCATATTAACCAATGAGAATGCACCTTTCTTTAGAAAACAAGTACAAATGAAAAAGAATTAAAACAGAAGATTTGAGTCACCAAGTGGAAAGCCTCAATTTAAATTGCCTTGATTTAAATCAATCTATCCTGTTTGTAAGGAAGTTTATCAATACTTTGTCAATTCTATCAGGAAAGCACAAGACAATAGTGAGCCCCCCAACCTAGTTAAATTTACCATTCTTTTAACTGCCTTTAGAAGCCAAATACCCTTTCACCAACTTCATTGCTTTTTCAACACTTAGCTCAGTGGCTCTCAACCTCTCTGTACTCCTTTCAGGAATCTGATTTCTCTTGTGTACTCCCAAGTTTCACCTCCCATAAAAAACTACTTGCTTACAAAATCAGACAAAAATACAAAAGCATCGCAGCACTCTGACTGAAAGGTGGCTGACTGTCTCATTTTTACCACAGAATTATAAAATAAATCAATTGCAATATAAATACAGTACTTACATTTCAGCATGTAGGCTACAGAGCAGTATAAACAAGTCACTGTCTGTAAGAAATATTAGTTTCTTCTTTGAGCACTTGTTCATGTCAATTCCAGTCAGGTGTGTGCCGGAAGATTTTTTTCCCTAGCAGTATACATAGGGTCGGCCTGGTCACACCTTCATGGTGCCCAATATAGGGCACTGCTGACCCGACCCCTCCCTCAGTTCCTTCTTGCCGGGTACTCCGACAGGGGTAGGAGGGAGGATATTGGCATGGACATGAACAACACATCTCGAAGAACAACAGTTACAAGAAGGTGAGTAACCGTTTTTTGTACTGACTTCACCAGTGCTTTTTATGTAGACTGTTGTAAAAATAGGCAAATATCTCGAAGCATTGATGTATCCCCTGGAAGGCCTCTACGTACCCCCAGGGGTACACATAACCCTGGTTGAGAACTACTGACCTGCCTTATCACATAATTTGACCAAACTAAACATACTTAATTGATGCTGAACCACCCCCCTCAAAAAGCCTCACCCACCCTCACAGGTAATCTGGCTGCACTTTGGAGAGCATCCCAATTAGAAGCTACCAGTTTCTTCCTCCCTACTCCTCTTCATACAAAAGATGGCTATTGGCTGAGAAGTTCAATCAGGCAAAGCAATCCTACCCAATTTGCTACAGCCACTTGTAGGCAGAAAATGCAATTTAGTTTCTAAATGACAGGTTTCAGAGTAACAGCCATGTTAGTCTGTATTCGCAAAAAGAAAAGGAGGACTTGTGGCACCTTAGAGACTAACCAATTTATCTGAGCATAAACTTTCGTGAGCTACAGCTCACTTCATCGGATCTGATGAAGTGAGCTGTAGCTCACGAAAGCTTATGCTCAGATAAATTGGTTAGTCTCTAAGGTGCCACAAGTACTCCTTTTCTTTTAGTTTCTAAAGACATTGTGTGGTGCTTGAAATGAGAGAGTCATTATGATCTATGCTTCCAGATATAAATAGACATGTCATTTGAACACAAACTTCTGGTTGATATCAGCGTAACTCACATCCACTGCGACGTTCGTAATGTCTGACTCCAAACTATCAGAAGTAATTGTGCTAGTTCTACAACACACATCACAGATGTTTCCCCAAACATACTGTGTCTTAAAAGTTCTCAACACCAAAAGGCATTGATTCTTACCTACGACTGTCTATACAGTTATGAAATAGCTTTAGCTGGATGCCAAGTTTCAGCCCGATATTTTTATACCAGTAAGAGTAATATCACAGCAGTCCTACTTTTTTTGATCAATATACTGCTTTACTTGAAAACTAGATTTAGAATTGATTGCAGTTAACTTTCTAAATTACTTCTCCCATACTGTACCACCACCAACTACTTGCTTGGATTAGGTGTATCCACACTTACCAAACGTTTCTTTCGCTAACTCAAGATCTGACTCCTCTTGTAATTTCTTTAGCCGTAGTTTGTCTGCTAACTGTTCTTCTGGTGTAAGTTCTTTAGCTTCCTCTGGTGCCTCTAACTAAAAAAAAGTATAAAAAGTAGCATGATTGACCCATGGCAAGTCTTCCATTTCGGTCATTATTGCTAACCAAGCATAAGCAATCTACTTAACTAAAAGTCTTCAAATAATGTCAGCTTACATTGGTGGCAAGTGAATTACATTTCTTGCCCAGGAATGGAGCAGTTGCAGGTGTGGTCATTTCAACAAGCTAACTGAACAGCATGCTTCTGCTTGAAGTAATTATTCCTGAAGTGCAGGCGTTCTGTTCTTAACAGCAAGCCTAACTTGTGTTTAAACATTCCAAGCTGAAATGCTGATAACCACAAGCATGCTACAGGCATAAAAATACCAAAACCCTCAACAAAAGTAATTTCACACAATGGTGAGTATTATAAACTTAATGTACACACTTAGAAGAAGGATGGAAATAGGATAAGTACTATTTCAAACTCTTAGATGTTCAAGTTCTTATACAGACTACATCAGGACTATTCTTTCCTAGATAACTCACTGTAGGGGCACGTTGTAAGTATCAGGCCTTTAATTCTCAGACTACATTTGTTTTTCTAGACTGAACAACAATAAGCAGATCTCCCTCTTCCCATAAAAAGCTAAAATCCTGACAGTGACATCTTACTCTTTTTTTAATCTCCTCTTGCTTTTTCTTCAGCTGCTTTTCTCTCTCTTTTATTTTTTCTGCTATTTTCTTCTTTTCTGAAACTTTTGATTCTGTAAAACAGTGAACAAAGCCCTTTTAAAGAAATCTAGTGAATAAAGAACATTGTCACAATGTGGGGAAAAAAGCACCTAGAGCTACGATCCAATTCAGAAACCAGAGGTGACTAATGTGAAAAGCATGCACTGTCATCCACACATGCACAACCCTTGGTCTATTATGTCCCATAAATACAGTTCATAAACTTGGAACACAGAAGCCAATGTTCTTCTTTGTTCTGTATACAATGAAGTGTGCTCCTCCCACAGTCCTCACCTGCTTTTATCTCTGTCTCTTTTTCTTCTTCCTCCTCCTCTTCATCATCCCAGTTATCCTACCAAACAGGAAGGAGTATGAGTTATCAGTATTTATATCTTACTTCTGAACCACTAAAGGTATCTGTGCAGAAAGAACTGTCTACACTGCACTTTCATCATTAAAACTTTTGTCGCTCAGGGGTGTGAAAAAAAAAACAACAACCCTGAAAGACAAATTTTAACAGCAAAAGGTGCTGGTGTGGACAGCGCTTTCTCAGCAGGAGCCGCTCTCCCATCAATGAAACTACCGGCCCTCATTCGGAGTAGTTTTATTTTGTCTCTGGGAGAGCTCTCTTCCGGTGACAAAGAGTGGCTACACTGCGCACCTTGCAATGGTGTGGCTGCAGAGGCAAAGCCGCACCATTGTAAGATGCACAGCGTAGACATGGCCTTAACGTATATCGCAGTAACAGGCAAACTCATGTTCACCACAGTTACAGAAGCAAGACAAAAAAAATGCCACAGTCCATTTGCTGGGCAAAAATTATTATAAGAAAAAAAATTAATTATGAGTAGATATCTGATAGAATGACTTGATTCTTCTCTATAGCACATCCGTCACCAGAAACAAAACAGGCTTAACAGAATATAGAGGACACTGATTTTGTGCCATAAATTAAGCATTACAGAATCAGGGCGGAAAGCCCTGGTAGCAGCAGCAGTGTTATTTGGTGATTAAATCTGAACATAAGCCACTTAGTGCCCATCAGGGTTTAAAAATGTCAAAAGCTGCCATGACAGGCATACCACTTAATGCACCAGGGGGATGACAAACTATCAGTATCTGTGACAGGAGCACTGTTAGATTCATAGAGTTAAGGCAGAAGGAACAATTATGATCAACTAATCTGTCAGTTTCAGGGTTAACTACACCTTTGATCCCCTTCCTGGTCTTCCTCAAGGGCACCCACTTAAAATTTTAGGCTTCCCAGCCATCACCGCTCTCACAGCGGAGACCTGCGTGTCTCTCCTTTCAGACTAGAGGTTTAGGTTCCCTCTGCACCTCACTGCGATTTTCCAGCAAGTCTGCCCAGGATCCAGCACCTGTGGTTAACTCTTTCTCCAGGGGCTATAACATTGTACACCAGGTACCAACCAGCCTTCACAAAGCAAACGACATTTATTCTTGGGGCAAAAGCATGACAGGAAAAAAAAAATCTACATGCATGCTAAAAGCCTACCAGAGGTCACTTCCAGCCCCATCATGGGGCTCTGCTGTGCCTGTCTCTCAAACTCCACAACTGGGTTTGCACCCTTGGTTACATGTTCACATAATTTTTGGGATCAGGAACCAGACCCCAACTGGATAGTTCAACTATTTCTTTACACAGCTCGGGCCTTTGATCTCCAGTCTCAGGGAATTTTACTAGTCAATGGCCCTCTCCTCAGGAGTAGCTTCAAAGGAGGGGGTTTACATAACCTGAGTTGCATAATTTGCATTAACCACTCCCTGGTTAACAACACTTATTGTCCTTAAAGTCCCTGCCTATCTAGTACATTCAATAGTCCTTTGAACTCCTTACACTTCCAGTTCTGACATGTCACACTGACTTCCTGCGTACCACAAAGACAGAATTTTGTCCAGTAATTCCAGCATTGAACCCATAGCTACTGGTTGAGCTGTTACAGCTTATCCTTTAGAACATCACTCAATCCTGATTTAAGGACTCCAAATGATGGAGAATCCACCATGTCCCTAGGTAAATGTTGTTCCAATGGTAGATTATTCTCACTTTAAAATTTGCACTTTGCCTAGTCTGAATTTTTTCAGCTTCAACGTCCAGCCACTGGATTTTGTTACGCTTTTCTCCATGTGATTAAAGAGCTGTTTACTGTCATATCTCTTTTCTATAATTAAGTCACCGCTTAGTGGTCTCTTGGATAAACTGAATAGATTGATATTAACTCTCATCAAAAAGCATATTTTCCCAATCTCAAATAATTCATGTACTTTTTCTGAACTCTTTCCAATTTTTTCCATCAGTTTAAAATGTCCCTTAATGGTCTCACTAAAGCTATACAGAGTGGTACAAACACCTACCTATCTCTAGTCAGCATTCACCTGCTTATACATCAAAAGATCATGTTAATTCTTAGCCAGTGCACTACATCAGCTCACGTTCAGTTGACCCCAACATTTCTTTCAGAGTCACTGCTTTCCAAAACATGGTTCCCCATTCTATAACTGTGATCAAAATTCTATTCCTAGGTGTATGACTCATGCATTAAAATGCACGTTGTTCAGGTAAACCCTGCTTACCAAGAGAGACACATTGCTCTATAGAACTAACTCTTCAATTATTCAATACTTCACCAATTTGCATCCGCTACAAACTTTGTCAGCAGTGGTTCCTTCCAGATCATAAGATATTGAATAGATTAGGCCAGGAATAGATCCCTGCAGGACTCTGCTCAGAACATCCCCACTGGATGTGGATTCCCATTTAAAATTATTTTCAGATCAGTTTAAATGCATTTAATCTGTGCTGCTTTGATTTTGTAAAGGGTAATGTAGTCAGAATGTTAGGAGTACTAAGTCAGCCTCCTTACAAAAATCTAAGTATGTTAACACAATTATATTCTCACCTACACTTAACCTCAACAAATAATATCAAGTTTCACAAGACCTGTTTTCCTTCAAATCATGTTAAGAGTCAGTGTGTTACCATACCAGATTACCAGGTGTAAAACAAACAAAATGAAGTATTACCTCACCTACCTTGTCCTTGGAATTGAGAGATTACTATAAGCCAAGGTAATCATAAAATCATAGGACTGGACGGGACCTTGAGAGGTCATCTAGTCCAGTCCCCTGCACTCGTGGCAGGGCTAAGTATTATCTAGACCAGGGGTCGGCAAACTTTTTGGCCCGAAGGCCACACTGGGGTTGCAAAACTGTATGGAGGGCCGGGTAGGGAAGGCTGTGCCTTCCCAAACAGCCTGGCCCCTGCCCCCTCTCCGCCCCCTTCCACTTCCTGCCCCTATCAGAACTCCTGACCCATCCAGTCCCCCCTACCCTCTGCTCCTTGGCCCCTGACCACCCCCTCCCAGGGCCCCCAGACCCTACCCTCTATCCAACCCCACCACTCCATGTCCCCTGACTGCCCCGACCCCTATCCACACATCCCGGGACTCCCACACCTATCCAACCCCCCCATTCCCTGACCACCACCTCACAAACCACTGCCCCATCCAACACTCCCTGACAGCCCCCTGGGACTCCCTGCCCCTTATCCAACCCCGCTGCCCGCCCCCTTACCATGCCACTTGAGTGGCAGGATTGGCTTATTGGAAAGCCTGGGCGGTGGGTGGGTGCAAGCCGCACTGTCCGTGCGGCGCCATAACTACGGGGGAGAGGAGTCAGGGCCTAGCCTCCCCGGCTGGGAGCTCAAAGGCAGGGCAGGACGGTCCCACAGGACGGATATGTCCCGCAGGCGGTAGTTTGCCCACCTCTGATCTTGACCATCCCTGACAGGGGTTTGTCCAACCTGCTCTTAAAAACCTCCAACATGGAGATTCCACAACCTCCTGAGGCAATGTATCCCAGTGCATAACCACTCTGACAGGAAGTTTTTCCTAATGTCCAATCTAAACTGCCCTTGCTGCAATTTAAGCCCATTGCTTCTTGTCCTATCCTCAGAGGTTAAGGAGAACAATTTTCTCCCTGCTCCTTGGATCAACCTTTTATGGACTTGAAAACTGTTGTGTCCCCTCTCAGTCTTCTCTTTTCCAGACTAAACACACCCATTTTCCCCCCCAATCTTCCCTCATAGGTCATGTTTTCTAGACCTTTAATCATTTTTGTTGCTCTTCTCTGGACGTTCTCCAATTTATCCACATCTTTCCTGAAATGTGGTGCCCAGAACTGGACACAATATTCCAGATGAGGCCTAATCAGAGCGGAGTAGAGCAGAAGAATTACTTCGAGTCTTGCTTACAACACTCCTGCTAATACATCCCAGAATGATGTTCGTTTTTTTGAAACGGTGTTACACTGTTGACTCATATTTAGCTTGTGGTCCACTATGACCCCAAAAATATGACTACTGTTACTGGAAATTCATGTCAACTAGTTGAAGTGTACTGGAGGGGAAGCTAGAATCAGTCTTACAAATGCCAAATAGTCTTAAATTAATATGTAGATGAACTTGGATGTCCTGGTACTTGGCTCATCAAATCACAGTTAAAAACTGAGGTCTGCTGTCTCATACTAGTGGTTAAAGTGAGGTATTGATGCTTAGTTCCATTACTGTCAGGGCATCAGATAAACACTGTAGCACAGCAATAAGAATGTAAACCTTGAATTTTGCAATCGCTAAGCTTACCTTAATGGGTAACTATAGATCAGTTAGCTTGACGTTGACCCCAGGCAAAATTATGAAAAGGCTGATGCAGGATGCAGCCAGTAAGGTAACGTCTACGTTGCAGCTTCAAGGGAGCCTCCCGGCCTGAGTAGACAGACTTGCGCTAGCTCAGCTCGAGTACAGCAGAGTGGATGTTGTGACTCGGCTGGCAGCTTGGGCTCGCCAGCCCACCCAACTCCCCGAGTCGGAGAGGTTACCCAAGTCTCAGCCGGAGCTGCAACGTCCATACTGCTATTGTCAGCGTGCTAGCTTGTGCTGAGCTAATGCAAGTCTGACTACGTAAGAGTGGCCAGACTGGGTCAGACCAATGGTCCCTCTAGCCCAGTATCCTGTCTTCTGACCGTGGCCAAGGCCAGGTGCCCCAGAGGGAATGAACAGAACAGGCAATCATCAAGTGATCCATCCCTTCTCACCCATTCCCAGCTTCTGGCAAAAAGAGGCTAGAGGCACCATCCTGGCTAATAGCCATTGATGGACCTATCCTACATGAATTTATTTAATTCTTTTTTGAACTGTGTTATAGTCTTGGCCTTCACAACATCCTCTGGCAAAGAGTTCCACAGATTAACTGTGCGCTGTGTGAAAAAATATCTTTTATTGGACCAACTTCTGTTGGTGAGAGAGAAGCTTTCAAGCGTACACAAACCTGAAGA